ATCCACATAACTAGACCAGAGACCCCGAACCTCCCAAAGCTAGGTTAATTCAAGGGCGAGCAACTGAAGGATGTAGTCCCGGTGGGGTCCTCGCCACCCAGCATCCCACCCAAAGCATTGAGGAACCAGTCGTTGGCGACGGCAGACTGGGCGGCTTCCTGGGCGAATCAAAGTTTAATGGGTTCAGGGGCAGTGCGGGGAGTATTGTGTCGGTTCTGCGAGTACAACAACCCGAGGATGTAAACAAAGTGCTCTTAATAGTCCAGGGGTCCGACATGTTTGGTATATCCTGCTTGCTGCTCGTTTGTGCTTCTGGCTGAGGTTTTACAGCTTGCTGTTGCGGGGCCGCTTTCGGCTGGGCTTCCGAAGCTTGCGACTGCATGGCTGCTTTTATTGGCTGGGCTTGCGGCTGCGGGGCTTCCACGGTTGGCTCGGGCTTCTCATTCGTGCTCTGATTTCCTTTGCTGCTGCTGCTTTCGCTGTCGCTGCTTGATGAGGATGAACTGGAGCTGCTGGTCGTGTTGTCCTTGCTTCCGTCATCCTGCTCATCACCGTGCTCATCATCCTCCTCCTGCTCGTCATCGTGCTCATCATCATCCTGCTGCTCAGCTGCTTGCTTCTGTGGGTCCTGCTGTTTTCCTTTTATCCTCAGTCTCATGCCACTAGGATACTTCTTCCTCTTGGCTGCCTTCTGGTCAGACGGCGCTTTCGTTTCTCTGCGATGCTCCTGATCAGGGCTATGAAATTTCACCCTCCGAAGAACCAGGATTATCTATGTTGAGATTTGTTTTTCCTAGTTTATTTGAAATCTGCTAGATCGACGAGTCGAGCCTTGGGTACCCAAGCTCGCCTCCTCAAAGAGCTTTGCGAGTAGTGGCGAAAAGCAGCGGATAGTCTCAATGCATTCGTAGCAGCCCACGGCTCTTTTTCGGACTCGGGGATCTTGGAGCTCAGTGAGGCCTTGTCCTCTATCAATACAACAGAAGTTTTCGGGGTGGACTAGAGAAATAATTCGGTTCATTATATTCCTGATAAGCCTAGAAATTCTGGTCCTCCATCTTCAAAATGTTCAGCAGACACTTCTTCAGCACCGTGTCGGGGAAATTCCAAGTCGGGCTCAGGGATATCGTAGCTTGGAAAATACCCTGGAAGAACCTGGACTCGGAAAGAAGCACAATTGGGATAAGAAACCTCTGACCTACACAAGCTTATACTATAAACTAGAATAAAATACATTGAAAATCGATTCCTATGTGTATCTGGATGGCCGAGACTGAAGTTTGGCTTTGTCGAGGTCCTTCATGTCCCTGCTACTCGTGTACGTCGTCACAGTTTTCTGGGTCACGAAAGGTGCAAGGCGGGAGGCCAACTCTTTGTAATTCTTGAACCCCACCCTTCGTACTCTCTGCCCAGCTGCTCCGGGCTTCTTCTTCGCAGCTCTGCCAGCCATTGCTAGCAAAACCGAGGTCGAGATCTACACTAGGAACTGAAATGCCGTAGCAAGTAGTCTAGGTTCAGGCCAAGGCCAGGACGTAGGAACAATAGGGATTGAGTAGTGAGGCCCCGCAAGCAACCACAAAAAGCTTCAGATGCTGAATCGAGACTGCCCTAGCCTAAAGTCCTACTCGAACAACCCTTAAGGTCCCCTTGAAAACTGAAGGAAACCCTCAGCACTGCCGAATCTAAAGTGCTCAGTCAAGGTTCTACTATTCTGCACTACGACAACGATCGGAAGACTGCTGCACTACATCATTCACGATGGCTGGGAAGCTGAAACTTGTAAGCATTGGAATGCCCTTGCCCGTGCGGGCACTTCCCCCTGCTGGGAGCTCCGGCGGATGGCGATTGCCGTGGCTTGGTCGGGTTTGGGCTTCAAGGCTCAAGGTATTGGGGTTGGGGCTGCAAGGCTGGGTTTCACGAATTAAACAGGGCTGCGGGAACTTATTTCCTAAAACCCTCTACCACCAAATAGATATAAACGCCTAGTACCCAAGTCAAGGCCAAGGAAGTTGGGGCTTTCTTGGGGTTGAAGAGGCTTTAGCTCTGCGATCTGGTGTGATATATGCTCATGATGCGAATACACAGAGCTACCCTCGATAAATGACATGCAGAATACTTATATGCAGCCCTGCGTTCTGGAAAGGTGTGTGCTTTATACGGGTTACGAGAAGCGGGTTTAGCTTCGATCTACTTTATCTCCGAAACACCGAAACAACCCAATGTCCGAAATTCCGAAGTGCCACATATCTCCAAAATTCCGAAACAACCCTCTGAAATCTGAAATCCGAATGTCCGAAATTCCGAAGTCCCACAAATCTCCAAAATTCCGAAACAACCCTCTGAAATCTGAAATCCGAATGTCCGAAAATCCGAAGTGACAGATATCTCCAAAATTTCGAAACAACTCTCTGAAATCTGAAATCCGAATGTCCGAAAATCCGAAGTGACACATATCTCCGAAATTCCGAAAGACGAAGCAAGACACAGAAGGCTTGCTGACATTAGTGTTGTTTCTGTCTCTCTCTTTTATAATAAAATCCCTCGTCCTCGGTTTAATCTTCTTTTTTTTTTTTCGGCGTGTTTTTTTGAGCCAGACTACATGAATTCCAGCCAAATCGCATGACCCCAGGGCTTTTTGAGCCAGACTACATGAGTTCTAGCCAAATCGCATGACCCCAGGGCTTTTTGAGCCATACTACATGAGTTCCAGCCAAATCGTATGATCCCAAGGCTTTTGGCCAGACGGGCTGTTTTCCTATCGATCTAGATACGCCCTCGTTTTTGGAGACGGCCATGCATATATAGATACGCAACGAACTTCGGATCTACTTTTTGGATCCGCGAGGAGGTCTGGGTAGCGAAGAAAACCATCGCGAACCTGAGTCTGCAGGACTGTGTTCAGGGGCTCCGCCGTGGCTCGCTGCAATCTCGGAATTTCAATAGGGAAGGCGAAGAGCCTCAGATCAGGGAAGAGCTGGTAGTACCAGTCTGTGGGGGACACCCTGTGCAGCCTTGGGTGCTGTACGACCTGTACATAATCGCCTGTGCAGATGGCTCTGCGGACGGCCGCTTGGGTGATACCATTGACAGCTGTCACAAAACCTTGTCGTCTTTGAGCATCCCCAATCAATTCCTCTGGCCTAGAGGTATCATCAACCGAAATGGAGTTGGCCATGGAGCCGTCTCCGGAAGGATCGAGGATGACATGTCGGCGTCCGTCCTCGGGGTAGATGATGAAGATAAGCGCGACGTGCTGGATCTGAAGCGGCATCGGCTGGGCTGCGGCCAGAATGATGCGTGCTCGCTGCGGAAGGCTGCGCTGTCTGGCGATGGCCATAACAAGATCCCCAGCTGAGTCTGCAACTCTGGCCTGGCTGATGTGCTGAGGGTGCAGTCTCACGGTAATACCGAGACCCGCCAGGATGAACGACACTGTCTGAACCTGCTGTTGCTCAAGCATCCAAGTGGTGGAAAGTGTCGTGTGAGGGGGAACAGCTGCGATCCCGGGACCGAACTGAATGTCTTGTTGCATAAGGTCCGCCGGGCGGTTGCTGGCAATTCGCAGCCACTGCAATTGCGAGAGATCTCCAGGAAGCTCCTCCCACACGTTGCCTTGCGCATCCATCAGTACATATGCTCGGCCATCCTCTGCCTGCGGGGTAAAAAGGGGTCCCCCTGGGCAGCGCCGGAATGCCTCAGCAATGACCTCCGAGGCTGCAGTGCCAGCCGCGAGAAGTAAGGTGCAAGGTCGACCACCAAGTGGTCGGAGGTCAATCGGCACGCACAACTGCTGCGGGCCTGCCTCGGCTGGCGTCAGAACAATCTGTGGAGCCACAAGATTGGGCATCAAACAGGTAAGCACTTGCGCTGTCCTGACACTTTCCTCTGAGGACCTGATTGCCTCTGACACCAGGTCGCTCAGCGACCAGCCATAGGCTGCAGTACGTTGGGAGTGGTGTCGCTGCCTATCAAGAACTGAATATTTGAGCACACGCCTAGCGTGGCCCGGCTCGAGCGCATAAAGCCCTAGCTGGTCAACCGGGATCTCACAAACTGGGTAGCGTGCTAGGTCTTCGGGGAGAACCTCTACGCGACTGAGGCCCAACTTGCTCAAATCAGTCGGCCTGGCTGGCCCTTCCCTCCCCAGAAGCGCCGGAGGCGAATGGGGCGCACCGGGCAATATCCATGGCGGGGCAAGGTCCGGGCATACAGGGGCTTCATGGGACAATGCTGCGCTGGTCCTACTGGACCGCTCAAGCTGCGACGGAGATGCCCGAAGTTCGCCCGGTATGACCTCTGAAGGACCTGCCACCTGTAGGAATGCAGCATCATCCATGTCTTCATCATCCTCATAAGGGAGATTTAGCCCTGTCGAAGGTGCTGCCCCGTCATCGTGGAGGAGGCCCTCATCTGGCTGCATGGCACCTATGCGTTCCACACCTCGGCCGAAGTCAGGCTGGTCCGCAAGAGCATCTGCGGCGCGCAGGGGTAGATCTGAAGGATCCACTAATGTGAAGGGCCTTTTGGGCAAGCGATGTGACGGGCATGTTTGCAGGCAAAGGCGGCGAAGTGCATCCTCGTCTAGCTGAGGCCTGGCGCGGATTGTGCAGATCTTGCCCTCCATGACCCTAAAGTCGACAGGCAAAGCGAAACTTTCTGCCGGCATATCCCGCATAACAACCGATACTTGAACGCTAGGTAGGTGCGGGAGTTTGCAGCGCAGGAAATGTACGGAGCGAAGCCTCGGAAACAGGCTTGTGAGCTCCGCCACAAGGTGATTGATGCTCCATCCCCTGGGCAAATGCCTGACCTGGACGTGGGAGGCAACATCAAAAACTGCATAGCGGTCATATTGCCCCAACAACTCGTCCCCCGCCACAGCGCCCATGGCCCTGAAACCGGTCATCCAGTCGAAACTTGTGAGCACCTTGTCACGAAGCTCAGCTCGGGCGGAAAAACGTTGATGTTGGCAGCAATCATCATACGGAGCGCCGAGGGCGGCCCGGTCTCTCCTGTCTTCGGGGAACAGCGGAGAGGCACGCCCTCCGATTCAAGCTGAACAACGGAAGGCAGTGAGTGGGACGACCCACGGGTCGGGCTCTTGAGAGGAGAGGCGGTCAATGCCGTGCTAGCAACAGGCTGCACAGGCTGCGACTGGGCGGTGGAAAGAGGAGGCATGACGTATTGGGCCGAGCACCTCACCCCTATGGCCTCGAAAGACATGCCGGCACCTCTTAGTGGGAGCCTCGCTGACTGTACATACTCCCAGACAGTCGCGAAGCTCCTGAAAGAAATCGTTCTCATACCGTTCCTGTTTGTACAACTAGTATGTACATAGCCTCGATCAAGCATTGGCGTGGCCGCATCCAGTGTGCTGCCACTGTGAGGAGTAGATCCAGAGACAGGGGAGTCATCCACATCTGGCTCAACCACGGGCCAACCCATGCGCACCGTGGGAACCTGGAAGAACGACTCACGAAGCTCCGGAATCTCCCCTGACAGTGACAGTTCACCCTCTGTAATGTCTGGAGGGCTCCACTTGCCAATATCGCCATGACAGTTGCGGGGGTCCTCCGGGAAGACCATCCAGTTTTCCAGATCGAAACGCCCCAGACTGCATTCATATTCCAGATTGACACCCAAGAAACTGGCCAGCCAACCATGAACAAAATCGTGCTCAACCGCGCAAGACGGGAGCGAGCCAATCGGCCCGTATAACGCCGTTAGGCCGTCATACGGGCCCCACCAGGGGGCTGCGGAGGCGCAGCAGGCGGAGGCGCACCAGGTTTGGTCCTGATTCTTTGGCTTCCCTTCGTCTGGGAGTTCTGCTGCCCTCCCTGGCCTTTTCGGCTTCCTCCTTGGCCGAGACGAGGATGCCCTCGATCTGCGCATGCCGCTCCTGGAACTTCTCTTTGGCTCTCCGGTGCTTCTCCCGGATCTCCGACGCCCTGGCAGCTGCCGAGGCCACAGATTCCTCCTGATCCTCCCTGGCAGTCTCTGCTGGCTCGTCGTCGTCCATGGAGTCGACGTCGATGGCATCGCCGTCCTTGGCGTCCTTGTCGGCAGCCTCGTGATCCTGGGCTTCCTTGGCGAGCTGGTCCGTCACATGGACCAGCTTGCCTATGAGCTCCGCCTCCTTCTCGTCGAAGGCTTCCATGGCCGCAAGTCGCTGCGCACCTTGGTCCTGCCACATTTTCAGCATCTGAGAGATGTACGTCTCCCAAGCGCTGGCATAGGCAGCTCGGTCGCTGCGTACCTTCTCGAGCTCCTTCTTGGTCTGCGTTTTCTCCGAGACCAATTTGTGCATCAAGCGCCCCTTGGTGTGGGTCTCGTCGCGCTTGAACTGTCCCAGCCTCTTCTGCATATCCGCCGGGATGTTCTCCTGAGGTATCAGCGCCAGCAAGTCGCCCAGAAGTCTGCGATCTTCCGTGGCCCCCGGCTGCGAACTTGATGCCGATGGCTTGGCGGGCAGCTTGGCCGTGGGTGGCTCCGGCAAGGCATCCAGCGAAGGTGGTGTCGAGGCTGTAGGGGAGGAACTCTCTGTAGGTCCCTTGCTCTTGCCTTTCGCTTTGCCCCCATCCTTGCTTTGCCCCCCTTTGGTTCTCGTACGTCTCCTGGGTGACTGTGTCGGCTGCCGACGAGTTGGCTCTCTGGCCCTCCCGTCGCTCCATCCTGTCGCGGCACCTCGGCCCCAATAGGACTGCTCGACCTCCATCACCTTGTCCCATCCGCTGAAGCCTTGCAGGATTGTCTGCAACGTCCGCATCTCCACGGCGTCGTCATTGTCCTTGGGGCGGAACGCAGGAGCACTCTCCGGTGCAGCTCCTGCCTTCCTGCCTGCACCAAGGTCGAACAGGAATGATGTCCTTGCAGCCTTCGCACCGCCTGGAAGATCTCCTCGTCCGATGTAGTCTGTCCTATAGTACGTAGGACCGTTCTGGCTTGTGTGCGTGCTTTGCGGGCGCGCCTGTGCCAATTCGGCTCCCCAGGGGGCCGCTTCTTCGCCACAGCCAAATAGAAAAACACCAGCCCAAATGAGGAGCTGAATAACCATAAATAGAGATACCAGCCCAAAGAAAGGGGGATCCGCCACCTCTGCCTCCGAAAGGTACAGCAAGAGGGGAATATGAAAAAGGATTGAGACCCAAGACCTCCACCACGGTCGGCCGAAGCAGCGAACGAGGGAGGTCAGAGGTCTGGCGTCAGTTGGTGCCCCCGGTAAACCGGTCAAGGCACGCAGTGGGCCTCAAAGGGCCACACGTGGGTCTCTGGTAGAGGAAGACGGAGTGGACCACAAGGGAAACTACACTACCGCACCTCAGAACCAGAACGCCTGGGTTTAGGGGTTTAGGGTTTAGGTTTAGGGTTTAGGTGAGCTTTAGGTTTGGGGCTATGGGGCCCGAGCTGCAGCCACCCTAAACCAAGGTTCCCGCAGACCAAGGCCCCCTCGGAAACCAAAAACCCCAAACCCTAAAGGCTATAACCCTAAAAAGCCCTAATCCCTAAACCCTAAAGCATGAGACCAGCACCCTAAACCCTAAACCTCTCAACCGCAAGCTTCGGTGCACATCAAGCTCCTGGACCTTGAAATTAAGCAACGGGCACACACACAAACGTATAGATGCATATATATATATATATATGCACATCATACATATGTATATATATATATATATGCAAACTGCATGAACGTCCAGAGATCTGTGCATAAACATACACACGTACACATATGCACATATACACACGAGTAGATTTACACATACATGTGGAACTGTATAGTCTTAAAGTACATAATGCAAAAGGTCAGTGAACAGCAATTAAGTACATCAATACTTACATGAATGAACACTTACACACATAAGCAAAACATTTCCAAGCATATAAGTCTCTCTGTATTTATACCTATGTAAGATGCATGCTACATATTCGCTCACTTTTGTTTATGCATACATCGTATAGCAAGAAACCAAAACTGACCTAATTAAGCAAGTCTCAATAAGGTAATCAAGTTTGTTGGGCTTCAGGTAGAGAGAGCTTCAGAATCTCTCTTCTGCAAAAACCAGGCCCAAACACGTTCACTTTTTCTAAGACTAAGATAGACCAAATACATGGGGCCAAAAAGGCTTAAAGTTCCAAAACCGACTATCTAAATTGAGGAATCGGGGTTTTTGGTGCTTATAGAACCCTTGTACCATAAACCCTAAACCCTAAACCTCAAAGGAACCCGGAAGCCAAGCTCCCCGGCGTTGCCATCGTTCCAGGCGCCGGCGTGCCCCAGTCGCTTGGGGTCGCCACGACGCGATTCGAACTGGAAAGACGGCTTGAAGTGTTTCTAGGAATACTGATAATACTTATTATTATTATTATTACAATTGAAGTTATACTTATAAATTATACTTATACTTATAGTAATAATAATAATATCAAACTTACTCATCATGAGAGTCATAATACCAATAATACTAATAATGTTTGCAAGTACCAACAATTCGAATAATGCTCATAATGGTTATTATGCCAGCGCTCTCCCGACTTGGGGTTTAGGATTTTTTGGTTGGTTTAGGGTGAGGGTTTAAAAATCCGAGTTAGGGTTTCGGGTTTATGGGGCGTTTAGGGTGTAGTACAACTACTTCAACGCTCAGCGGACTCGGTAAGCAGGTCATAACTAAAGAAAAAAGTACCCTATCAGCATCTTGGTCATAACTCCACCTGTGGGGCTGTGGGGGTAGTAGGGTCCCCGCGAACCCTAAACCCTAAACCCTAAACCCTACACCCTAAACCCTGGATGTAGGAGGCACGGTTTAGGCTTAAACCCAAAACCCTACCAGGGAGTTCTGGGCCCTTCGGGTGGCTTGGACTTGCGGTCGGCAATGGTTTAGGGTATAGGGTTTAGGGTTTAGGGCTGAATCTCAGCTTTGCGGCTTCAGTGCTTGTGCCTAGGGGAGCTTGGGGTCTAGGATCGGGGCTTTTGGGTAAATAGCTTTGGGTTTAGGGTTTAGGCGTTAGGGTATTAGGGTTCTAGGGTTTAGGGTTTAGGGTTTGGGGTTTGGGGTTTGGGGTTTAGGGTTTCAGGGTTTAGGGTTTAGGGTTTACGGTTTAGGCGCTTTTAAACCTGGGGCCTTTCAGCTCAAGGCTGAACGGGCATAAGATCCATAGGTTTCAGGCACCACATCATGGACACACGGGTCGTGCACGGATCATGGGCTGTGCTTCATAGCTTGTGCCGCAGCCCGTGCTTAGGCGCGATCTTGACCAGCTTTTTTTTGTTTGGGGGGGGGGGGGTGGCAACAACTACAAAGGATCAGACTGTAGCGCCTGCAGCAACTGTTCGCCACGGATCTGTTGCCGGGGGCGACTTGTTCAGAGTTGATCCTTCAAACATCTCTGCCTCCTTCGGTGTTCTCCGGCCCAGCATCACAAACACGGCAGGCTGAGGGCAAACTCGTTTTTTGTTCTGGTCGTGCACGATGTCTCCCATGCCAGATCAGGGTCGTAAACGGAGTCGGTCATTATCTGTGCATCTATGCCATAAGGTTCATACGGCTGATGGACAAAATCCTGCATGACCTTATATACCTAAACTATGGGATTTATGGTACTATACTATATTTGGGTCATGCAGAATTGTGTCCATCAACAGTACGAAATGCATGCTTCAGACTCCAAGCTCAAACCCAAAAGTCTTCGTGACGGCAAACCCGAACCTAGGCCACGACCCTGAAGCCGGAAGAACTCATGGGTTTAGGGTTTAGGGTTTAGGGTTTAGGGGTTTAGGGTTTAGGGTCTAGATACTTTGAGGTTTTATTCCGGGTCCACAGACAAAAAACTCTTCCAGGCTTGTCAGCTACTCTGAGCCTCGGAGACAGATTCGGCATCAATCAGGGCACC